GCTAGTACCATGTAACTCATTGCATATGGAAAATAGACGAGTATCGGCGAGTAATTCCTATTGCCTTCAAGAAATGCCTTGAAGAATTAACCCGAAAAGCTTAGTAATTCTGCAGTTCATCGGCTGCTGTCAGTATATTTCTACAAACAAGAAAATTAACCAAAAGAATTTCTTGAAAATGTTCAAAGACAAGAAAAAAAAAATCAATATTTATTCTACATCAAATAAATTCAATATATACAAAAAGCAAGAGGGATAAAATTTTACTGCGAGGAGACAAACAGACACACATAAACACAGTATATATAAAAGACTCCCAAAAGAGTATACTAAAATGGCACACCAGAAAAATACAATACTCAATATCACAATGGTAGAGTATTTATATTGCATTTAGTAAAATAATCCGGCATATACCCGACTGACCCAGAACTACCAGTTTATCACCGAATTATTGGAAAGAATTGCTGAAAAATCACTGATATTTGAGAAAATAAAAAAAAATTAATAAAATCCGCAAAACATCAGAAGAAATTCACAAAAGTACAAAAAAAATGTTTGATAACACAGCAACAAGATACAAAAGAATCTCCAGAATACGGGGTCCCTTGAGCGTTTGTGTATATATATATATATATATATATATATATATATATACATACATACACACACACACTTCATTGAATACGACAGATAAGGTGCTTTTATTTAGTTTTTATACAATTTTTCATGCGATCTAATTTTTCTTTCTTTTCCGATGATAAATTATATAAAAACTGTCCGAATGTTCTTTTTATCCGAGCACTTTCGGCTATACATTTAGCTATTTTCAAGGATTAAATATTTTAACTGTTAAATAAGAAATAGTTTGTTGTATGTATGTTTTATAAAAATGTTTTCATTTTTCAAAACACGGTCAAGATATTGTGCCCATGTTCAAAGTTAATATTATTGTTTTTGGGTTGTTTTTTTTTTTTTATTAATAAGGCTTCCATTATTTTTTGCCTTTATTTTTATTTTTTTGCATGTAGGTGATGCTATTATATTAATGTTGTCAACAAGTATGAAAATGGCTAAATTGCTAGGCTAGGATTGCTGCCTAAATACACAAATATATATATATATATATATATATATATATATATATATATATATATATATATATATATATATATATATATACACAAAAGAGAGAGAGAATTAATATAAATATGAAAAAATGTCACTTAGTTGAATGATGTTATATTCAGCCCTGCTGACTCCAGAGTTTCGTAGACGAACCTTTGAGTAATCGTTCAGTCCACTCGTCAGGGAGTATCAGTAATTGTCTGTTTATTTTCCCTCTTTTCGTTTCTTTGCACTAAGTAAAAAAAAAAGTGCTTTTTATTAGTGTTAGGTTATTTTTTGTTCTTCTTTGTGGGTTCGCGCCCACTCGCACGCACCTCTGTGTATCCGCACGTGTGTAGAATGTTTTATGGTTATTTCTTCTTTTTATAATTTTCTTGTTTCCCTATACTCACTCACTATTCACTTTCCTTTTTCTCTATCTTTTGCCTTTGAGTGTCAAAGATCGGATTTATTTTTAGGCTAATTTTTCTTGAATGAATGCTTCTTTTGCTGCTCTGTGCAATGTCCCTTCAGGACGTAGATATAAATAAAATGTGAATTTATTCTGGTTTTCCAGATTTAGTTTTAATTTCTCTTTCTCAAATAACGGTGATTACTCAACTATTCGATGCTCAACCATATTGTATTTCTGCTTTGGAGATTTTAGTTGGTAAGTACATTATATGTATTCGCCAGCTATCCTCATTGTAGCACCTTGAGTTAAACGAGGTGGGAGAGTATAAATGCCCATAAAAACGAAAAGAACAATACCGACCACCTAATCAGTGCAGCCATTAGCGCTCAAGAAACTGGTAGTCGTAGCCGGTTGTGTGTACGCCAGATTATAATGATTGAGATGTTATATATATATGAAAAATTTCTCAGAGTTAACCTGTAGAAAAAGACAATATTTATAAATATAAATGACAATAGAAAAACTGTAATAGTTGCCGACGCGTTTCGTCCAATGTGGACTTTTTCAAGGCAAAAGGCGAAATGAATTTATTAAACAAAGTAACTAATAATAACAAAATAAAAAAAAAGTTTGAACAAAGTAACTATAAATAATTTTTTTTTTGCTATCCTCTGCCAGCCACAATGATGGAGAAAGCATTACCTTGAACCATCGTGAGACACACTGCAAAAGCCACTCCGTTTCGCAAGGCTCGTACCTTAATCGGGACGCAATCGCGCCGATCCTCGGAAGGAACGCCATCGAACGAGGGCCAACAACCCCAGAAGTCTCCACTGCCACAGGAGTAAAAAAAAAAAAAAAAAAAAAAAAAAAAATCTATCAACAAGAGAAGAATATTTAACTATTTTTTTTTTTTTTTACCTCTGCATCCCAGGCGACGGACCCCGGCTCAATTGCGGACCTGATCAAATTACCGACCGAAAATGTATCCGCACAGATCGCATCCCAAATCAACGACTTCCCCATTTTAAAAGGGAAAATGGTAATGCCATCCGGTCGCTTTCCATCACCACGGTCGAGGCCTACGGGTTCGATTTGGGAGGGAAAAATAAAATGTCCTCAGCCACTGGAAAAATTTATTTTCATACTGTTAACTGAAAATTACGTCATTTACTGTCACGTGTGGAGATATTGTTTTTATTGCTGTATTGACGGATTCAACCATTTTCTTTTGATTTCTTGATATTGTTGTGTACATTTTGCTTGGGGGAGTAGTAATTTTGTTAAGAAAGGTGAAATAGGGAAACGGCCTGGGCGTAGATTAATATTTGGGTAATATTCAATGGCAACACTCTTGAGGATTTTCCTTCTGAGTAAATTATTTTCTTTTTTTATGAGTGTATCATTTTTAAAATCAAAATTGTGACTGAATTTATTTCTATGTATGACTAGTGCATTAGCTAAGTTGTTTTTTGTGAGGTCTCTTTTGTGCTCATACATGCGTTTTTTTTAAATTGTTTCTCTACACGTACAGAACAGTATCAAGAAATCAAAAGAAAATGGTTGAATCCGTCGATACAGCAATAAATGCAATATCTCCACACGTGACAGTAAATGACGTAATTTTCAGTTAACAGTATGAAAATAGCATTTTCTAAATTCTTCCTGTTGCTAAGGACATTTTGCTTGTTATTATTAGTTACTTTGTTTAAAGAAATTCATTTTGTTTTTGGCTTTGAGAATTCCACATTGAACGAAATGCGTCAGCAACTACTACAGTTTTCCTATTGTCATTTTTTATATATATATATATATATATATATATATATATATATATATAAAACACCAAGGTTCAAATCCATACATTTTTTAAATTCTTTTTTAAGCTGTAGACGAAGAAAAGAAACTTGGAAAATATTAAGGCTCTATTTGTTACTCTTCACAACAATAAATTTATACAAAGACCTATCAAAAAAGTTGTTCACACGATGCTAACATGGCTATTTACATTATTCGGACTGTTATCCTCATCTTTAATGCCATATTCACAACGTTTCGGTCGTTGTACGCTCCGGCCTTCTTTAGGTGATTGGAAATTCGAATCGCACCCTTTATTTAGTCCATCTGGGTAGATTGTTCTAGTTCTATGTGTCATACCTCTTCCAAATGACTCAGTTATCTCCCTTTAACTCAGCTGTCCAAATTTGGTTCACCACTCTTGTGACCTGGTATTGAACTCACAACACTGAATCCAACCAACGTCTTTATCCACTGGGCCATGTATCCTTGAACGTAGAAACTAGAACAATCTACCCCGGTGGACGAATTAAAGTGTTCGGTTCGAAATCCCAATCACCAAAAGGAGACTGGAACGTACAACGGCCAAAACGTTATGAATATGGCAATGAAGATGAGGATAATAGTCCGAATAATGTAAATAATATAAGTAATCATAACTCATCTCAGAGATATAGACAGATATCACTGGATGGATTTAACTCAAGTTAGCATCATCCCAAAGGGCACAGCCTCTTTTCTATCCTAATTGACTTCAAGGCGATGTGCGGTTATTTCAGACAAAAACGTTAGCAATATTTCACAATCAAGCATACTTTTTTTTTTCTTCCGTATGGTTGGGTGTTCATTGGAAATAAATAATTATTACTAGCATAGTACCCGTCAAAAATGGCAGCATAATTTATGCATGGACCGGCATTTCTGACTAAGATCAGTGTAGTATCTGTGCGCTCTTTGAAATAATAAGAAATAGTATTACAAATAATTATATGTATATATGTGTGGTACAAGGATATCTGTACATTTTAGGATTTTATAAAGTTTTTTTCAAAACCAACTCAAATAATCTTTTATAAAAGGACGTTTTTTTGTTACTATCACTTCATACCTTAGTCAGTGTCATCTCCTTCAGAAAAATATCACAAATTGCTAGAAATTTTCAATTTTATTGGCAAAAAAATCTGACAAACGAGCAAAGAATAAAAGAAAAATGATATATTATGTTAATGTTTGAAAATTATCAAGATATATATATATATATATATATATATATATATATATATATATATATATATATCGACAAAAGATCAAATAAATACAGAAAATAAAGTTAACAGTCGAAATCTTTGGTGCAGACGTAATGCATATGCAATAAAAATAGTTACATTTCAAAGGACAAATAAAAATATTCCACCTTCAACATGAAGAATGAAATAATAATAATAATAATAATAATAATGGTTCTTTCGTCTTTCTAAAATATTTACTTCATTTCAGCGACAATGTTCTGATTGAAGCAGTGACTAATATTCAAACAAAAATCTAAAAATATTATCAAAGAATCATCAAAATTCCTTATACTTTATATGAAACACTAAATTTACGATAAAAGACACACCCAATATGGAGCACGGCGTTTTTTGTTTTGGTTTTTTAATCAGAACCTGTATAAGACGTGCTGTCAGAGAGGAAGAGAGAGGCGAGAAGAGAGGGAAAGAATGAAAGACGACGACGATGAAAGGAAAGGTAAAAAAAAAAAAGAGGAGAAAGATAATGAGAAGAGAGGAAGACAACGACAGGACGAAAAAATAAAGAGGACAAGGAGAAGAGAAAAAGAGAGGAAGACGATGACGAGAAGAGTAAAAGAGGGTAGGACGACAATAGGAAGGGAAAATGAGAGGAGGAGGCGGACAAGAGAAGAGGACGAACAAGAAGAGAAAAAGAGAGGAAGACGACAAAGGAAAGAGAAAAAGAGGAGGATAACAAGAGGTGGGGATGAACAAAAAGAGAAAAAGAGAGGACGACAAGAAGAGAAAAAGAGGGGTGGACAAGGATGTGAGGTAGAAAAAGGGGAGAACGTGGATGGGAAGAGAAAAAGAGAGGCACTGGATGACAATAGGAGAGGACGGATAAAATGTAAAAAAAGAAAGGAAGACGACGACGAGAGAAGAGAAAACAAGAGTAGGCGGATTGCGAGGATAAGAAGAGAGAAAATGTGCAACAACGTGAAAAGAGGAAAAGAGGAGGGCCGGTGACAACGAGAAAAAGAAAGTGAAGGGGACGGAGAAGAGAGAAAGAGAGGAAAGTTGTAGCAGAAAGTAGGAAGAAAAAAAAAGTACAACAGGTCAAGAAAAGAAAACGTAGCAAAACAAATCTATAAAATCGACACCCATTTTAGGTAGCAAATATTTACATCAGTCTTCGGATTTTACATTTATACAAAATGTACACAAAGTAAAACGCCTGTTAACTGGTTTGCCCAGGTTTTAAATGCTTGTCCTTAAGAAAAATTTACAGCAGCAAATACTGAAGCCTTTTTGACATTTTGCAAAAACAGTACAGTACTGATCACGATAGGCCACTGATGGGAAGGGTCTTGCCCAAAAGTCGACATACCCAGACCAAGGTTTCAATCATGAAACCAACATGGACAGAAAAAGAATCAAGAAAGTCGTCATTTTTGATGAGGGAGGCATACAACACAGAAAACAAAATTATTTTACACTGTTAGTGTTAAGTAATGTAAAATAATGAATCTTGGAGAATGCCTGCTACGCTCCAAGGAATATATGCCGTTTATTCTATTTTTAGACTTCAATCCGTAACTCATTGACAAACTAGTAATTCTTAAATTGTATTCGTCTATGCCATTATTTAAATTATTACTTTTGATTGTAAAAAAAAAAAAAAAAAAAAAATCAACAATGGCTGTAGTAGCAGGTTTACTTAACCTGGCACGACTGTTTTGGGCCTAAGCGCTCATTCCCTTCCACTAAGTATTATTAGAAAATACAACGAGACAGGGAAAGTGAATTCATGCCTTTCGTTTAAGCGTTCGAGCAGAAAGGACCAAACTGCTTGAATAAAAATTCGATTTATTTTTCCCGTGCCAACACGCCTCGTTTATCACAATTTTCATAATAAGGGAGATAACTCTGTCAGCGTAGACGTTAGAGGAAATGTTAAACGATTGACCAAAATTTGCCTCCCTCTACAGCAGTTTAATCATAATTTGGCTTTGCATGCATGACGGAGATGGGAAACGAGTCAAAAGAAGAGGGAAAAAAAAAAAAAAAAAAAAAACACAAAGACCAGTTCTGAAAATTTATACTCAAAATCAATTCGGTTTTAATTTTACACAATTTCATCCTCTGAGTCGATATTTTAAATTTATTGACAGCTTTTGTTGGCGGTAAAGAATTTGTAATGGAGCATGTAAAACGGGCATATTTAAAGCAAGAGAAAAAGTAAACAAAAAAATAATTTTTCAAGGAAGTTAACCGGTTTCGCTTATCTCTTATGAAAATCAAGGATAATAAAATCAACGTAAATACCAATTAAAAAGAAAACAAAATACATATGTTAATAAAATATATTTTAAATATGTCCGTTTTCCACGCCATAATTTATTGACAGCATTTATAATACCAGAACTTTCATAAGAACTTAAAAAGCTATCAAATTTTCAATTTGAAATCAGATAATGCAAAAACTAATTTATCACACTCCAATGTCCTTATTTCTTTCATTATATTTTTATTTTTAAATGGATAATATATTTATCTTATATTTTTATTCCTGTTTTTATTCTTTAATACAACCTATTGATTTTATATTTAACATAACTTATTTTTAAATATAATTTTACTTAATTTTAATATAAATTATTTAAATGACTTATTTTTAAATATAACTTATTTAAATATATCTTATTTTTAAATATAACTTGTCTTTGAAATAGTACTTTTAAGTATGATTTTACATTTTTGAACATAACTATCTTTATAATTTGAGGTTCTTTTTAAACCCCCTTTTTTATTCCTCCCTTGGTTTCAATATTTCATTCTTCATATAACCCCAATTTAATGTCATAGGGTTAATATCAGGGTTTAATTTTATAAAACCTCTTTCCTTTAAGACTAGTACCTTCCACCCTCCCTGACCCCTGTCTTGTACCTTTCGTCTGACTGAAACATTGAAATCGATAAATTCTGGATTAGTTTTTCAACATTTTTTTTTTTTTTTTTTGTAGCTTTCACAGTTAAATTTCTAATTCCAACATGAACTCAGTCCATATACCGGGGTTGAATAAGACTGACAAATAATATTTTTTCATCAGTTGAAATAAGCTTATTACCCAGATGCAGTGATTTTGGATTTTATCATGCATTTAATTATTTGCTTTGTAATAATAAATACATCAAGCTCTTTTTGTGAATCAGTTTTAATATTTTATATTACTAGAATCCACTTGGATTATAAACAAACGTATTTATTTTCCTTTATGATATATATATATATATATATATATATATATATATATATATATATATATATATATATATATATATATCTCACTCAGAACCAACTTTATCAATGTATTATCTGCAACATGGCTTGCAGCTCTAGAATTGGACTCTACTCTCACAAAAGGACTCATCAGTAATGTGTCAATAGAATACTCAGGTGTTGGGTCACGATGAGAATATATATATATATATATATATATATATATATATATATATATATATATATAATAAAAGAAGTTTTGTGATCTTAGTGCATTATTGAAATGTAAATCAGTTTCTGCCTTAAAAATGACTTACATGAATTATCTTATTTTTTCTATTTACAAAATTTATTAAAGAAACCTAGAAACCTGATAAAAAAATTCTTCACTTAAAGTTTAGAGACAAACAAATTGAAATCAAGAAAGTTGTTTTTCATGTTTTTTTTAATGGTAACCCCCCACCCCACACACACACACACACACACACAATTTCCACTGCTTCATGAGATAAATTTACAAAATTACAACTTTGCCTTATAAAGCAGCAATCAGTGAATGGAGGGGAGAGATTTTTTTTTAAAGTGTTTTTAACTTTAAGCTTTTGTGATACCAAAATTCTGTTCTTATAACTTGATTGAAATCAATTTTTTTTTGTTTGCTTTTCCTTTAGATTGAAATTTCCTTGTTGTTATCTTGGATTTTTCAAACAGAATCATACATCTGAGTCCAGTTCTCAAGAAAACTTGGACGAGGAGATGTAAAGAAAAAAAAATTCACGTTATTTACTATTTCATTTTCCATTACTCGATCCTTACAGGTACACGCTCACATGCAGAGACGAGAGGGTGGCTGAAAAGTTCTTGGCCCAACCTACTTCCTAAAATCTGAATAGACATCAGAATTAATTTTACAATCCTTTTTTGGCTGAACCATAAACTTTTCTGCACACCTTGTCAGCATGGGCATGGGTGTGCGTGTGTGTCCATGTATACATGCAATAAATAAAAATAAATCTATTTGTTGTTTTTGTAGTGCTTGATATTAACCCACCTGAAAAATCTTTTTTTAATTTCATTAAATTCAAATTACTCTTTTCCCCCTTCTTTTAATTGCTTAAATTCATGCAAAATTAAAATATTTGAAAAAAATTTGACAGTGAACAATCCAATAATCCATAAAGATTCAAATGGTTTTCACAAATGTGTCAATCAAGATTTTAATTCTTTTTTTCCCCCAGGCACATTACTGGTGTTATTTTACACAATCTCAAATCCCTTTATTCACATTCATAGCAAATGACAAGAAAACATTTAGCTTTGATAAAAACAACAAACACTATTGAACTTGACACATGAAATGCACGTTCATTTTATCGGAAGAACTGTACGAGCATCATGTCACTTTAGTTTGGCCAAAATTAACTGTATTTGATTTATTGACTTTTATAAATCTAAAAAAAACTTTTTAAATTGTTTTGAAACTTACTGCCCCATTTCTGAAGTGAATTGTAAACCAAGAACTTGAAACTTTCTTAGCAGAAACTGTAAGAATCTAAAGCTAAAAGTCTGAGAGATGGAGGAAAAAAAGTGATAACCAGCAAGAAATAAAATAGCTTATCCAATTTAATCTCAGAAAGTATTTACAAAGAGAGATTAACTCAGACAAGTTTTGCTTTGTCTTTTTTGAGTTTTTTTATTTCTCAAAATTGAAGCAAGATTCCCCCTCCCAAATGAATTTAGCAAGTACAAATGCCATAAAACTTTTCAAAATAATATATTTGAACAAATTTGGCATATTGGTCTGTTAGCCTTCAGGGAATATTCTTAAAGAAAATTTAGTCTAAGTTTTTACAAGATGATCTGAGATATAAATAAAATAAAAAAGTAGAGCCGAATGAAACCTTCCCATAATGCAACTCAATTGACCATGGAGGCTAGTTAGGATAGGATCACTAGTAAAAATACACTGCCCTATAAATACAATTACATAGAATCAGAATATATTTTTTACTGAAAGCATGATTGCTGTTGTTTCAGTATTTGTGTTGGTTTTTCATTTTGATTTTTTTTTTATCAGTTTTTCACCAAACAGTGATCATTCAAAATTTAAATCAAACGTTACCAAGGCCCTCAATAATAGCTACAATGCATCCGACAGTATCGAAGCGCGCTATGAAAACAGTAAAGAAACACTGAGAAATTTACAGGCTTCTGTTGAAATGAAACAAACTCTCAGTTTGAAAGCCAACACATTCCATGTGATGTTACATAACAGAAGTTGGAAATTTTCAAAGAAAAAACAACCAAGAAAAAGAAAATAAAAATAAGAAAAGCCTTGAAGGAAATAAATAGAAACATAATAAAAGTCTCAATATGGATATGATATTTGTAATAAATATGTTTTAACGTTCTGAAGGAAAAAATAAAATAAAAATTATATACTTTTAAATGCAAAAAGGGAAAGTGGAAAATTAGGCTCTCCTAAAAAAAGGTAAGGTTTTAGGATTTTCAAAGTGAATTATGATGGATAAAAAATATGTATCTTGATTGGAAAGAAAAACAGAAAAGAATCCTATGAAAATAAATAAAGAAAAATAAAAACACAACTTAAATTTTAATGAAGTCTATTAAAAATAAAAATTTTTACAAAAGAAAATATACATATGGAAATGGAATGAAAGGATGACCATCATGAGAAAACATTTTTAAAAAAAATCAGTCAGCAGATTTTAAAAACCTTCACACATTCTAGTGAACATATATCTCACTAAAAATCAAATTTCACGTTTTTGTTTTAACTCAAGAAAGTGGCTGTTAAAAAAAATTGTAATTGCCTAAGGTACAATCATAGACTAAAATATTAGATAGGTAAGTGAATATATATATATATATATATATGTTTTTACACTCCCTCATCTCTCTTGCTGTGAGTTTTAGCAGTAATCTTGGGCGAAGCTGAGACGTCTTCATGCATCCAGTTTTGTTGAAATAATAATAATCACAACAGGCTTAGCTGCATTTTGTTGTCTTCTCCATGATAGCTTCCAAAGCAGTGTTCTTCTGCCCAATGGCAAGCCCAACCGAAGCCACAACTAATGCACCCTACAAAATTAAATGGTAAAGAAACAGAAATAAAAAAAAAACTTTTAACAAATTTAAGCAAATTGATATTTCATTAATACACAGATGATTGGATAGGAGTTAACTGTAAAGATTGTGTAAAAATATTTAAAACTTATTAAGTTATTCTAATTAAATTTTTTAAAAAAATGCAAACAAATCTTGTAGGAATTCATTGTTCATAGAAAAAAACTTTTTGTAATACCTCTTCAATATATCTTATTTATAATAGCAATTAAAAGCTTTTCTAATTAAATATCGTAGTTTTATTGCATTTTTATTTTACTATTCAGAGCAGTCTTTCAGTAAATAGTAAACTGTTAAAAAAAATTCTTTTAAATAAGAGGACAGACAATTTCTGGAAATTTCATTAATTAAGAGGTGGGATAACAAATGTAAAAAAAATATTTCTACACAGATTTTCTAAAAAAAATATTTCTAAAATAATTTTATCCATTTCTGAATAAGTCCTGAAAGTTTCATTAAAATCCGATAATTATTTGATGTTTGAAAGAATTTCAAAATCAGTGTGTTTTTTACCAGAAAAAAGGCACTAAATTTCCAAAACTGAGCTTTTTTTTTTTATTTTTAATTATTATTTATTCGGTTTGGTTTGTTTTACAGTATATCAACCTCAATGGGTTATTTAATGCCAACAAGATTTTTATTACTGCTAATATTTTTTCAAAAAATGTATTGCTGGTAATACTATTTTCCTTCAAAAATGTGTTGCTGGTATTAAAACCTATTTTTACAGGATTTTAAACCTAGTTTGGGGGTTAACTATTTGTCCATAATTGGGACCCTAACAGGTGCTACCACCCCAGGTCAGGGTGGACCTGTGAACACCAGCAATTAAGAGGTCATTCTACGCTCCTCAAAACCTCCTGTTCAGAGGCCTTGTTTTACGATGTACTTTATCATCTTACCCAGGATGTGGATATAGTTTATCATTTCAGTCATGATTTTTTTTATTTTATTTGTATTTCTGAAATCAGGAATTATTTACATTCAGACAAATGCCTTCATCTTTTTGTTATTATCATACTGTTTTGGCAATTGTGATTTACAGCCTTAATTAAGTGTCACCACCAATTAAGGTCAAGATATTGATAATAACAAACAGGTGGACATTAGTCCAAATGTAATTATTAGACTTTGTTTTTCTCTTCAAATGATTTGTTTTATTTTGTTTTATGGTACATCAACTTCAATGGGTCATTTAATGACAACAATGTTTTAGAATAAGTTCATAGAAATAAAATAATCATTCCTTGTAGAATAAGTTTGGTACAGGACTAAATGTTGTAGGTGCATATAGTTAGAATATCATCATTCAGATACTCATATTTTTGAGTACAATTCCATTTCTCTTAGAAAATGTAATATCTTGTATGGTGTTGTTTTGTTGAAAAGATCTTTCAAATTGTTTTCTTGGGAATGTTTAGCTCGAGCTAGGTCAAGTTCTGCCGTAAATCTGTCTTGGCATGTAGTGCATGTTGGGGCCTCTGCACCCTCTAGTAAATGGTGATGGGTGATATAGATGAAGGTGGGTAGGCACTACTTTTTCTCTTCTATTGTTATTTCATATTCCATTCTCCAATGGTGGATTTAATGTTCAGAAGTTTGTTATTAGTGAGGGCATCCTATTGGTTTTGCCAATTATTTGTGATCATTTTATTGACAACAGTACTATAATCAGCATGTGGTATTTTTGTGTTTGTTATTCTGTCTTTCATTGCTCTCTTTGCTTCTGAGTCTGCCTTGTCATTCCCATGTATGCCAAGGTGGTTCCATATCCAACAAAAGATTAGTTCTGTTTTTTGTTTTTTTTGGACAGTTGATAAATTCTATCTAGCACTCGGATGGTTAAAGGGTCACTGGTATTTTTATTTTTCAATCCAATTAGTGCAGATAAAGATTCTGAGAAAATTATGAATTTATTGTGTTTTTAGTTATTAAGTGCCAGATTAATAGCAATTGTTTCGATACAATATATGGAGGCTATATTTGTAATTCTTTTCTGTTGTTTATTATCTTTTAGTGTGGCAGCACATCCAACTTTATTTTCATTTTTTGCTCTCTCTCTCTCTATATATATATATATATATATATATATATATATATATATATATATATAAAGTGGTCTGAATACAATCTGAATTCATATTCAGTCTGCTGAATACAAATTTTTTTTTTTTTAATTTTCTTGAAATCATAGCCATTCGTTTGAGTTTAAATTCATCAAATTTTTTTCAATAAGTTTTTGGTATTTCTTAGTTTGAATGTTGTCTTGAATTGTTTGCTCTGTCTTCTGAACTACACTGCCATATGTTTTGGTTCCCATATAAGTTTCCACAATTTTTCTTCTTTTTGGGGAAGGATACAGAATTTCTTTTTCTCTTTTAAAGGTATTGCAAGTTTTTGAATAAATGAGGTGTTCTTCGTGCCAATTTTCTACACTCATTTTCTGTATAGTTTGGATTGTTTTCACATTTCCTGCACACTTGATGCCCCACCCCCTGCAAATATCATTATGATGTCCAAATTTTTGGCATTTAAAGGACTGCAAGAGAGTTGATATGTAATTTTCTACCTTTTCTATAGTGTATCCAATTTTGATTTCCTTTGGTATTGTTGGTTTATCAAATGTCAAGATATATGCTTCTATGATTTCATTATCTCTTCTAATAATTCTTTTGTATTCCTTTATTCCCTGACTTGCAAAACGGTTACCATTTCTTCTGGAGTTACTAGCGAAAGATCTCCATTTCTTATAACGCCTTTGGATGTATTTTTTATGTGGATAGGCTTAACTGTTCAATTTATGACATTTCTTCATTTTCAGTAAATTCTCCACGTTTTTTTTCATTTCGGAGTTTTTTCACATTTTTAGGGTCTAGCTGACTAGAAATTACCTTTACTATCAAAAAAGCCGAAAGTCGGTCTCGTTGTTTTTCATCTAAAGATTGAATTATAAGGAATCTTGGAATTCAGCTGTAGTTTCAGGTTCAGACACAGAATCAAAGAGATTTTTGGGTTTTTTTTTGTTTTGACTTTCCATAATTTAAATAGAACTATTCACCAGTCCTGTGCTCCACCACCCACTGCAGAGTCCAACATCTTTTGGGAATATACCAAGAGGGAATCCCAATCGCTTTGGTTGAAACAGGGATACACAACCAGTATACTCGCACTGAGTACTGTTTTGAGTCGCTGCCAGTTTCAGATTTAGTAACCCAAAAACTAATATTTGGTAACATGAAACAGTGATCAAACTTTGGTATCCTAGGCCTTCTAGCATTTAAAAATTACAGCGGAGATGGATGTCTGATCGAAGACAAATCAAATTGGATAATATGACTGGGATTACCTTTTGTTGCTAGGGCATGTTGTGACCGGCCACTTGGTCTGATTTGGCCTCTCCAACCTCCCGCTTAGCCCAAGTAAGGGCTAAAGTGGGGTGTGGCAATTCCTATGACTGCTTTTACCTGGGTTATAGAATATTCAACTTCCAGGATCACATCCTCAGACATCACATTTACATTCCCCCCACCACCACACACACACACACATGGTAAACAGGTGGCCTTGTTGAGGGACTTCTACCCCCTGCAGTGGTGCAGTCAGCATATTCTATAGCCTCATTAACAGTGTCAGATGCTGTTTAATGTCTTACCCAGGACAACTCTTCAAATGATCTTTTGTTTTTTTTATCTTCTGAAGAAATCCATTTGCTTGATTCAATATTTTCTTTGTTACAGATTCCTCAAGTTGAAATTATTGTGACTCGTTTTTCAGACTGCTATCTTCATCCTTGTTGTTTTTAAAATAATTTTATCAGTAAGAACACTTCAGTGATAAATGATGTCATAAATTAATATAAACAAAAAGTTTTTCTCAAAAGAAATACTAGAAACTTTTGCATCAATCTTTTTTGTGAAAATTACAATCTTTTTAAAATATGCTGGTTATATAACATAGATAGAAAGTGTAATCCACAAAGCACATTTCTAATTCCAGACTAATCTATTTGGTTCGCTTCTGCACAAATTCCCATGGGAAAGGTATGAATCCGTCTCCTCTTATTCCAAATACTGGTCAAGTAGCAGGGTAGACTGGTCACTCTAACATTGAGTGGTAACCAGCGAGAAGAAAAAACTGATTTCTAAAATCATAGAGAAGGCTATAAGAAACCACTCCACCATCCTTCTCAAGGTGTGGTAATTCAGAGAAGAAAAAAAATCATGATCACCTATGGACTGAAGGGATAGATATGGCAATTTTATGTTTTGCTGGGTTTTTTTTTTTTCATATCAAACTTTTTGGGAGATGATTTAAGATTTGTTTTATTAAATACCAAAATTCTTTTGTCAAAATGAATAGTAAATAAATGTCTTTGAATATTTATTTACTATTCATTTTTGATGATTTTTTCTCCTTAGTTTTTTCTTTTTTAGTTTTGATATATTCTGAACATGAAAAGTAAAATGATTTGAATGTTACAATAAAAAAGCAACAAAAAAAAAAACTAATCAAAAATATACAAAAAAACCTTGTGATTAAAAATGCAAAGTGCCATTAAGCAAAGGATCAGCCTAATGATTAGAGTAACAATTTGCCAACCTGGAGTATCTAGAATTTCACCTCAAGTGATGATTTGATAATGGTAATGTTAATAACAGCCTTATAAGGAAACATTTGGCATTCATTGACCAAACAGCCAGTGCTGTTTTCAGATGAAATTTATAAACTCTTTCTAGTAAAAACAACTTTTAAGGAAATATGTTTGAAGTCCACTAACAGTTACAGCTTTGTCCTGCTTTCCAGTATTAATTGGGTGGTCCTAACCTTTTGCTTGATGTGGAAAGTCAACATCTTTATTATACCATTATTTTCTCTTTGAGTTATATGTGCTATCCATTTTTGCTATTGAAAGACCTCAAGTGATATAGTTTCTGTTATTTGCTACAGTTATTTCTTTGTGATTCTGTAGAACCAGTCGATAAGGTTCAATGAAAGATAACTGCCTGTAAGACTTGTAGGCATTCAAAGCTATTCTTAACCAATGCACTGAGAAAATAGTTGTATCCAGTTGACATTTCTGAACAGGTTGGGTGACATGTATAGCATCAATAATAAAGTTTCAATCTGACAAAGCTATTTGAAAACATGAATCTAGTTCTTAAGTTAATGTTTTGGTTTGTTGCAACTTATGATGTTGAACAAGACTATCCCCTACTAGCAACCTATTCTATGTTCCTTTTCCTTATACTAAATTTGTTATAACTGATACAGACACCAAGATATTTGTAGCATTTAGTACTTACTAATTCCACATCCTGAATTTTTATGACAGATTCATGGTAAGTGTCATCACTGCTTTTATTCAGATTCCAGATCATAGTTTTTTTTGGTTTTAGAAAAGGTTCAACTTGAGAACTATTTCTTGGAACACATGATAAATTCATGTACACCTATGTCATCAGCATAGAACCGCCCCCCATATCATCAGTATATTGGCCTCGGGTGGGAAAGCAGGATCGTTATCTTCTGTTAGGAGATTCGTTCGAGATGCGGTATGGAATGTATAAAAGGTCAGTGCTCATCTCATCATATCTGTGTTTGTAAATGTGCAGGGCTTAGACATTAAATGGGGTGGGGTTCTTATTTTCTCCTTGCTGTACTCCTGAGGAGATCTAAAATGTTTCCATAGAGGTTCTTGTGAGATATATTAAGATTCTGTAGATTGATAATGTTTCTCTATTAGCTCAATGTGTTCAGTGGATTTCATGCTTGGAAGACAGTTTCTGGGGAATGAGAATAGGGAAGTCTCTATTGATGTGGCCATATGATGCTCTGAGGTTGACAACGCAAGTTTTCTATTAGAAAGATAAGCAATTTCTTGGAGTTCTTTGATAATATATATGCAAAAATTTCAATTTCCTTATACCTTTTCCTTATACTAAATTTGTTATAACTGATCCAAACACCAAGATATTTGTAGCAATTAGTACTTACTAATTCCACATCCTGAATTTTTGTGATGGAAAGATGTTAGGGGAGACATGCAAGTGTTCAAAATTAAGTGCTTCCCCCCCGCCATCTTTTACCAATGTGTTAGAAATTCATTCTTTCAAAGAGGAAAAATATACAAAAGCTGAATAATTACCAATTTGAGAAAATTATCAAAGACAAACCTGTTAACTGACCTGGATAACTTTGGTAATAATATCCTCAGAATCTTGGAGAGCCACCAAATAATCTGTACTGACTCCCCACTTCTGGAAAACAAAGAAACAATTTACTATAATCAAAAAGATTTATTTTTTGACTAAAGAAAACAGCAAATGATTCATTTTATTCAGTCCAGTTGTCAAGATAAATAAAAAACTAAGGCAGTCAATATTAATTATTTGATAAGTCTTCTCTTCTGGTCAGTATTTTTGTAACCACATATGATGTTATGACCATTAAAGTCTCCCATTAAAATAAATGGTTTTGGGAGCTGCTTCAATAGTTTATCTAATCCAGTTCTAACTATAGGATCATTAGGAGGGATGTAAACAAAACATGGTGGATGGTTTTATGTATTGAGGCTCTTATAGCCATTCTCTGTAGTGTTATATTCAGGTCAATCTTACTCTGAGGAATATCATTTTTTACCAATATTGAAGTACCACCTGAAGCTCCATTTCCACTATTACTAACAAAATGATATGATGTGTAGTTTTTAATATTTATATTCTCGCTGTCCTTTAAAAACGTTTTTCTTGAAGGCAGAGATGATTGCTTGAAATAAATCTGCATTCCATTGAATAATTTTGTCAGCCATGATTTTTATGTTGATGTTTTCATTTTTTTTAAGTTTCCATTTATTTTAGCTTGTGTGGCACCATGCATCCAGGCAGAGAAAGAAAGGCAGAAAGGGAAAAGAAAGAAAAGAAGAAAGCAAGGGAAAAATGAGGCGAGATCCGAATCATAGGTGATAAGCGAACACACACACGGCTAAGAGGCAATAAAAAAAAAAGGGTTATTTTGATAAGTGGCAAATGGCAAAAGAGTGTCATTACAATGACAATGAGATTTGAGTGGGTAGGGAAGTGTTATCTAAGGATATGAAAACAAACTATTGGTGCGGGAAGGCATCTTATTATCAACACAGACCACGGCCAAGGGAAAAATTCAAGTGAAAATGTTATTTCGATAAGTGACGTAAACGGGTGACTAAAAAAGACTTTGGACAGATATGAAAATTAAAGGCCACCTACGAGTAATCGTTGACCGATTTTCCTACTTGGCTCTGTGAATGGAATTGTGTTATCAAGAAATGTTCGCCAAAGAAAGTCCACTTGAAAACGTTAATTTTGATAATTGACAAAACACAGGTGTAGCTACAGAGCCTTAGTTAGATATGGAAAATTAAAATCCCACACAAGCAGTCTCACTAACTAAATTCTTTTTCGACAAAACAACTTTTGCCTGCGATAATAAATTTATGTTATCAGGAATATGTGCCGAAGGAAAATGGGTGGGGACCCAGGGGTGTTTTTCTTTCTTCCTTGGAGATGTCAGACTGACTGAAAACTTGGAGATAATTCTTTTTTGAGGCCATGTTAAGAATACCAACCATCTTGATAAATTAGCGATAAAATACCTGACGTAAGCCACGTGTAGAACAATAATTATGACCCCATTGTTCATATTTTCCCGTTGGTGGCCAAAGAAATGATACGGCGATTAAGGAAGAAAAGGAAAAGCAAAAGATTAATTTTTTTTAGTTGTTCACGCCCGACTAAGACATCATTGGTCAAGTGGTGATCACGTGACACACGAAGGAGGAGGAAAGATACCCGACCAAGACCTCATTGGCCGAGAGTGATCACGTGGCCCGCGAAGAAGGCTGTCGACGCCCCCATCCAGAGTGTAAGTATGAGAAGCTGCTACGAGAAGAAGTGGGGAGGGCAGTTCACGCCCCTCAAGTATGGTGAGAAAGTGGGAGTGAGAAAAAGTTACCAAAAATGGAAAAGAGTGGAAAAATCCCTAACCAGAAATAAAAAGAGGTGGATATGTATTTAGAATTATCGAGGAACTCCCCAACGCCAACAGACCCACCCGTTTTTGGTCGGCGTCAATAAAAGCCAGGCCCCAACAGGCAGAAATCAGTTTTGGCCCCGGCAGAGATGAGTGCCCAGAAAGTTTGGGCCCTGGCGGCAGAGATGAGTGTCCAGAGAGTTCGAGCTCCAGTTTCCAGAGTTGAAGCCGCCTCGAGATAGCTTACCAAGATTCACGCAAAATTCGGACTCCTCTTCAACCAAGAACAATTATTTTGAAGAGCGACTTAGGACCAGACCACCGAAATAAGTTTTTTTCGACTTTCGTCCAAAGACACACCGAAACACAAATTTCTTAGTGAGCAAACAACTTGAAGCGTTAAAACTTGCCTAGCTTTCGCTATCCACAGTGTCACAATCCACAAACGGGTTGGGAGATAGATGCAGTCCTATGTATCGGACAATTAGACATAAAGTTTGTTACCTTTTTCTTTGATACTTTGAACTTTTTGAGTTTTCATTTTATTTTCTTTTATGCATATTTGTGTGTTATCACCCCCGTTGAACTCAATTTGCATTAAGGCCCCAACCCCTGTTTGATCTCGTCTGTCTAAGATCAATTCACAACGTGGGTAGGCAGACTGGAGACCAATGCAGTTACCTTGGTAACCAGGTGTTGGAAGCGAGTTGGGAGTGACGAGGCTGATATCAAATCTAACCAGATTCCCACCCGAATCACCAAAAGGTTAGAACGTCACATTTGGGTGCCGCGACCGATACCAAGCCAGTTGGTCGCGACAGGTGGATGTCACGTTTGGAGCAGCGACACCCGGACGGAGCAGCGAGGAGCGAACAGCTGGCACCGCGGCGAAGATGTCACAAGTGGTGCTGTTTGAGGACGTCACAAGTGGTGCTGTTTGAGGACGTCACAACTGGCGCCATGGTAGAGCAGGATAGAACGTCACAGTTGGCGCTGCGACCGGGGGACGACGTCACAGTTGGCGCTGCGACCGGGGGACGACGTCACAGTTGGCGCTGCGACCGGGGGACGACGTCACAGTTGTTTTTAGGTGATTTTATCCTTACAGAGGTTTCCTTTTTTGATGGGGTTGTGTGTATTTTCTTGCTTTTTGTATATGTCAGGTGGTTCCCATTATAATTTCTGCATTTTATGGCACCTTTGGCACTCGGTTTCTTGATGATCGGTCATGCTGCATTTTGAACATGCCAGAATACTAGTACATGTGGATAAGTTTGATTTTTAAGTTATTAAATATTGGCCATTTGAGGATTTTTCTGCATGAGTTTTTTCCTTACTTGTATTATTATTGCATTGTTTATGAGGTTTTTTTAACAGACATAGTAGTATTTGGGAGTATATTGTTTTTTCAATTATGAATGATGATAGTTTTGTCATAGGTGTTTCTTCAAGTGACTCTATTATTATATATTGTGAGTAATGATCATGAGATTTTGATTCATTATCTTTTACCATCCTTGCTCCCCACCCTCCTCCCTATCATAGGTGATGGTTAGAGGGAAGAATTCAACAATGGTATACTCAGATTTAGTATTTATATGCAGTCATCAATATATTTTTTTCATTCTTTTATACCTGTAAGATTGAATATAAGTTTTAATTTTCGATGATGCATTTTAGTTACGAGCTGATTGACCTTGCCACTGCTTTCTAGCACTAATTTGATTGAATTTGATTGGGGTGTGTATGTTTTTGGTTTTGTTTTTTGTGTAGTTATTGTGTTTTTGGTGAGTGGATTGATAATATGGCTTGGCTTGACTAGCCGATTAATCAGATTGGGCCTCTCTGACCACCCCACCCACTCCCGTCTAGCCCAACTACCAGGACCTAACATTCAGGCATTATGAGTCACCACCCATGGCAAACAGGTGGCCTCATTGGGCAGGGGTCTTACTCCTCTGCAGAGGTGCAGTAGGCATATTCTACGGCCCCAACTGACAGGGCATGGAATTTTAACTGGATAAATTAGAAATCTGGGGAAAGATTGAGAATGTATAAACATTTGGATTTGCTTTAGTCTGTGAGAATACTGCGAAAGGTGCTGGTGATTTATGTAGACCACCAGAATGATGTAAAAATTCATTGCTATTATCTTTCATTGCAATACATGAAAAGAAAGGTAGTAACAATGAATAAAAATACTAACCATGTTTAAACTACATTTGATAATATTAAAATGTTTTGCTCTTTCAAGTTATTTTTTATTTTTATTTTATTTCACACCAAGCAAGGTGGTAATGTCACTAGTATGCAGTAGGTTACAGGGAGTGAAAGTGAAAGAGAAAGATGAACATGATTCACGAAGATAGAAGATAGCGACTGATGTTGCATTTAAATTTTTGATAGTTATCAGGGAAGCAAGAAAACAAGGAAATTTCAAAGGTGGGAAGTGTGAGAAAATAAAGCGTGATGTTTGCATTTAGCTATTTCAACAATAAAAGGGTGGGACCTAAATGCCAATCTAGTAGCACATTTAAATTTATGTATTTGGGGCACCAGGGAAAAAATTTCGTCAGAGCAGTTGCCATAAAAATATTTGTAGAAAAGACAGAGGGAAACTATATCATGTTGGTGAGAAAGTGAGTGAAGTCAAGATGCCTGTCAGGATTTACATTACAGATCATTTTTTGGATTTGGTCAAGAATCTTGAGATGTACAGCAGGAGCACCAGAGAGATTGCATAATGATGTCAGTACTAGAATAGATAGCCAACAAGACAGTTCTTTTGTTAGTTTGAGTAATCTTGTAGATCAGTCCTTATAGTCTTGGTATTCAAAATAAAAAGGATTTAATAAAACAGTACAAACTGGATCTCTTTAGTGCTGTGTAAGATCTAAGCCATGTAATCTTCAACCTGACCCTCCCCGTCACTCAAAGAAAAAGAGACAAAAATACTAACCACAGCCAGATCCTCTGCATGTAAGAAAAGTTCAGTCAATGCTCGCTCCACAGGAGGAGGTAAATGGCCGGACTTGTTGGACGTATTCTTACTTAGGCCCAGATACAAATCCCACAGCGGACAGAGAAGGGAGAGATCAATGCGTTGACTGGCATCAGGATTTCTACAAAAAAACAAACACAAGGAAATATGTGTTTAAAAAAAAAAGAAAGACAAAGAAGAAGAGAGAGAAAATATGTTCACTTCACATACAATGCAAAAAAGTTTCTGCAAATATTCTTCCGAATATAAGTCCGTCTTCAACTAAGAAGTGTTTGACTGTTGTATTAATGAATGAAGGTTAATCACACTGTTAGTGTGAGGTCACCTAATGTCATTTCTGTTTGGCCGAGGGCCAGGGTCATTAAAAGGTCAGTAGTTGATGGGCATTAGGGGTCACAGTCATTAAAAGCGCAAGATTCATTATTACTGGTGTTGTAGAAGTCGTATGCTTTGTTTAAATCAGATTTCTTACAAAATCAGATACAAATATATATACGGAAAACAAATCAATGTAAATATTTTATGCTCATCCAGTAATTAAAAGCAGAATTACCAGCAAAAATAAAGAATTTAAATTGAGACCTTTTGAGAAAAAAAAAAGGTCTCCTATGATTTGTATTTTTTTCTCAAAGCCGACTAAGAAGAGGTGGAGAATGAATGCAAGATAAAAACTTTTTTCAGTAAGACATGACATTTGAAGATGATAAAACTTGGACCACAAACAATGGATTTTATTTCAACATGAGAGAAAATGATATATAAATATATATATGATATATAAATTTTTATATACCACAAAAATTTTAAGAAAAGTAATGACAAATAGCAGATCTTCTATTATCAAATGTGGAATAATTGTGGAATTCTTATTGACAAAAACCAAATGTGGAATTCTTATTGACAAAAACCAAATGTGGAATACTTGATTGACAAAAACCAAATGTGGAATTCTTATTGACAAAAAACCAAATGTGGAATTCTTATTGACAAAAACCAAATGTGGAATACTTATTGACAAAAACCAAATGTGGAATACTTATTGACAAAAACCAAATGTGGAATTCTTATTGACAAAAACCAAATGTGGAATTCTTATTGACAAAAACCAAATGTGGAATACTTATTGACAAAAACCAAATGATAAAAACAAAAAACCAAATGTGGAATACTTATTGACAAAAAAAAACCAAATGTGGAATTCTTATTGACAAAAACCAAATGTGGAATACTTATTGACAAAAACCAAATGTGGAATACTTATTGATAAAAATGATAAAAACAAACAAAAAAAGAAACTAAATGAAATTAGCTAGAATATATATCCAAACAAATGCATTAAAAAAAAAACTTAAAATTTAAAAAAGTTTGAAATTTCACTGTCCCCTAGCCTTCATGTGCATATATATTTCCATCAATGTAAACATCACTTCATAACATCTCAACAACATACATTTCTCAATGTTCAAAGTTTTGCTTGATTTTGCATATAATTATGAAAACAGAAAGGAATAAAGTGTCGTGATAATTTGCATAGAAAAACATCTGCACTAATTTACATGAACATGCTGCATTACGGTGGGGGGGGGATAGTGAAATATTGCAGCAGTAGAAAAGTTGGCAAATGCAACTGTTCAACAACAATATCATCTGTAACAAGACAAAATTAAAATGCTTATCACTTGAAAAACTGCTGGTAAATATGTCCCAAAAGTAGAATATTCATTTTGAGTAGAAAGCAAGAAATACAGAAACTGTAAAATATGAAAATGAGTAAACTGAAACTGAATTTAGTAGAATTGCTTTGTGGCTCTAAAAAAAAAAAGACTTTAACAGGCTAGAGAAAAAATGACTAACAAAACTGAAATTCTTGGAAACCAGAATTTGGCGGGGGGGGTCTTACACTAAATTTAATGCCAGAGTTTAATGCTGTATACTCCAGAGGCTTCTCCAGATTCAACTTAAAGAACTTTCTGAAATACTCACTGAAATAAAATGAACACAAAGTTAACCATATTATGTAAAAATAGGCTAGGGAATGCAAGAAGTTTTACTTAAAAGTCAGAATTTTTACTTCATTTCAAATCAGTTTGCTCTGCTTTTATTTTACCTTCAATTTTAACAAACTAATCTAATTAATGTAAAAATATAATCCTAACTTAGGAAGCGGGCTACAAACACATATATAAAACACAACAATGTATGTGTATGCATAGAAAAATGATAGGCAATTGTTGAAAAGCTCCAGCCGAGTGAACCAAACAATTACAAAAAGGTCTGTCTATGGAACTACAGAGATCTCATATATATATATATATATATATATATATATATATATATATATATATATATATATATATATATTATACACACAAGTAATGAAAGCAGCATTACACAGGCCAAGTTTATTTCCTTTGTTATGCTGCCCAGTGTCTGTGAATTTGTATCTTGTTCATTTAATTCTTTACCAGGACTTGAACTTATCAACATTCAACTACTAGACTATCATGTTTCTCATTGTGCCATTTTTGAAACAAACAACTCCCAAAATGTTTAAGCCTATCAAATCACTTTAATTACAACAATTTCACAATTACCATTTGAAGCTATACAAAAATCTTTCAAACAAATCACAACATGGCAAAGTGAGGCAAAAAAAGTGAGCTCCTTTATCTGTGCAATGCCAGGTATTCTTGCTGGTATTAATCATAAAACATTCAATTTTTCCATTCTTCTTTGATATGCACAAAAAGAGCATCCAATTCATTTTTTACATGAAATTTATAAAATCACAAACCAGATTGGAAATATATAGCAAAAAGCAATTATTTAAAAAATTCTTTAATTTACTTCTATTAAGCAAAAACTAAAGTAGATATGATAAAACTATCTGATCGCACACACACACACACACACACACACACACAAACGGTGCGATGGGTAAATTGTCGCCATTTTTTATTTTGTTTATATGCATTGTTTGTTTTTGATTTTGTTGACCGTACAGTATAGTGGGGTCAGTTGGGATCCATCTATGAGAAAAAGAGCACCATGATGCAATTCACTCTGCCAGAAATTTGGAAACTGCATGCTGTACTGCTTGACATTCATGCTGGAATCTCCAATACAAACATTTCACAGTGTTTGGGTGTCAATGTGAGGACAGTGCAGAGAATTCGGAAAGAGTTGGATGAGTCTAATGGTGATTATGAAGGTGTTTGGAGTGATCACTAGTGATGGTGAAGTTATGCCTTCATTAATCTTCCCAGAGGGCCTCAGACTCAACACAGTGGCCTACATCAAGTGCCTTGAGGAGGTAATGCTGCCCTGGGTCAAGAGAGTGGCTGCTGCTGGAAGTCCCTATGTCTGGCAACAGGACGCTACACCATGTCACACAAGCAGGAGAACCCAGTGATAGCAGCCAGACAATTTCTATGATCACCCCTTATATCTGACCACCTAACTCTCCAGACTGCACCCCCCTTGATTACTATGTGTGGGGTGCAGTTGAGTAAGAGACCAACAAAACTCCTTGTAACACCAAAGATGAACTGAAGGCAAGAATTATGGCATCATTCATCAACAAGGAGACTATCCAGAAGAGTTGAAAGAGATTCCGAAGTCGTTTGAAGGACATGGTTGAAGCCAATGGCAATTTTATTGAATAAATTTACTCTTTAGTATTTCAAGATATTTTTGTGTAATTTTGGTAAATATAGCTGTTAAAATGAGATGTCAGTGTTATTTTCATATTTGCGTAATTTAGACGACAATATATCCATCGCACCCTGTACATACCACATAAAAAAAAAAAAACAGCTCATAAAAATTAATAACATTTTTATAAAAGGAAAAAAAAAATGAAACTATTTTAATTTCCCTGCAACAGTTTTCATATTTATTGTGAGAAGAGAAATTATTTGACATTGGGTGAATTCAATACAAAAACTAAAACTCACTTAAACTGTATCTGAATCATCTGTAATAGCAGCAAAATGGTGTTCAGCCGTTTCTTGTGCGTTTGCTTGCAAGCTACATGAACAAGATGCATCCAAAGCTCTTTCATGGGCAAATGTCTGGAAAGAGAAAGAGAGAGTGAGTGAGTGAGTGAGAATAGAGAGTAGTGACAGAGCAATAAATTTATTAAAAAAAAAAAAAAAACATGGGTGGGGGGCGGATATACTAAACAACATTTAATGAACACTTAATGCAACATGCACTTGAAAAAAGTCAAATAATTTACAGGCTTTTCAATTTAAAATACCCAAATAAGATGGTCTGAAATGTGAAATAACAAAAGATTAAAACAAAGAAAGTGAAAAAAGTTAATGGTGATATTTCTTTTTAATTTTTGAAATAATGAATAAATTTTTGGATTAATTTTAAACAATCAATGAGAAGTTTAATGACTGAACAATTACATAACAAAAAAACAAAACAAAGACTGGAGAAACTTACTTGTAGACTCTAGAAAAGAGGAGGTTGTGCAATATCAAATAACCTGTGTTAAATCTATCCCGAAAACCAGCAGTTACAGTAAACTTGTAGCCCCAGAATGAGTTTTCATTATCACTGGTGAATTTGTAATATAATGTGTCACCTAGAAATAGAAAATAAAAAGGCAGAAGAATATAGAAAATAATGGCAGATGAAGGAATCCTAGAAAAGACAAAAAATTGGTCTTATTTTTATCATTCCTATCAGAATAATTCTTAAACAAGACAATTTTCCTGTTGAATAAGCATAATTACTGAATATCATTTACAAATTATAAAGAAATGTTGAAGTACATTATTCTGTTTAACACCTTTATCACCTGTGCCATATGTCCTTGAGGACATGGCACAGTGGATAAAGGCGTTGGTTAGATCCAGTGACAGAACCCAATGAGTGTAAGTTCAGTACCCAGTTAAGGCAGAACTTTCAGAGGGAAATTAACAGGAGATAACCGATAACTGACATCCATTAAACATGGCACATGGAACTAGAACAGTCTACCCCAGGGAGCGAAATAAAGGGTTCAGTTCAACATTCCAACTACCTGAAGAAGGCTGGAGCATACAACAGCCAAAACGTTGTAATAAATATGGCAACAAAGATGAGGACAATAGTCCGAATAATGTAAATAATGTGCATAATACCTCATCTCAGAAACATAGACAAATGTTGAAGTAAACAAATATAATATTCAGCTTAACTTTGGACGCCTATTGTGGTGTGAGACTCAACATGCTTATGCTAAAAACTATTTATTCTAGTTTAGCTTGATTGAAACAATGTAAAGCGACATAAATTATTTTTTTAAATTTTATTTTCATATTTTGATATTTTTCAATATTTCTATTTAAAACATGTTTTGTTATCACTGGACAACAAATTTTCAAAATTAAAGTTTTATGTTAAAAATTATCAAAATAGCATAAAAATTTAAGCACTCACAGATCAACTGTCAATGGTTTCAATTCTAGACAAACTACTTTTGAATGTTATGGTAATATTAATGATCAAATTAGCCATACAACAAACATTTAGTATTCATTGACCAAACATGCTGTTTGGTCAATGAATACCAAATGTTAAAATTTAGGAAATTTTTCTTTTTAGTTTTAACTTTAATAGTTTTTCAGGAAAATCAAGTTTCTCAAATCCACTGTTATTGCACTCTAGTATTGAGGGTTTCCTTCCTAACCTTTTGTTTAAGGTAGTGTAAAAAGTCAACATGTTCATAATATTGTTATTTTCACTCCTCATTAAATGTGCTACACATTTGTTGCTGTTCAAAGTCTTCAAATGATATGGTTTTTGTTATTTGGTAAAGTTATTTGTGAGTCTTTAATGCCAGTCTACAGTGTCTGATGAAAAATTGTATTCTTTAAGCCCAAGAGCATTCATTTGCTTGAAGGCAGTGATCCGAGTAAACGATTGTATATAGATGATATATACAATCCTTAAGACATTTCTGAAGGAGTTGGACACCATACATGACATACAACAAAAAAAAAACAACATGGCTAAATTTTCTTTATTTACTATAATTCAGAGGAAACAAACCTCAAGAAATATCAAGGGAGATTACTCTAGTTCCTAGATCATTTTCTACACAACACAAGAGTTGCTAGAATTTATAATTTTCAAGGATTCGTTTCTGTAAAGCGGTGGTTCCCAAATGGGGTACCACATCTCACTGGTGAGATGGAATGATTGAAAGACAATCAAAGATTTATAAACAGTTTCAAAAAATTCATATGCCAAAAATAAATATAATTTCAAAATTTAAAATATTATTATGGATTACTTGTAATTGCATGCATGAGTCCCAATACAAATAGTTATAAATAATTATTGACCAATTTTATCACTGTGATATTAAGAATATAGTAACTAGATTCTGCAAATTGGAGGAGAATCAATAATAATGTTCTGACTTCAAATCCACAGTTATCTCCTTTTAACCCACCCCCTATTTTTAAATGTACTTTCTATCACAAAGTTTGGTGAGGCACAAGCAAATTTTAATTCCAAAAGTGCATCCCAGAGAAAAGAATTTTGAAACCACTGCTATAAAGGAAAAGTGTACATCTTATATGAATATAAAAAAAAAAAAAAAAGTTTCCTTTTCTTATATTACAGGGGAAAAAAAAGGAAAATTTAGATTTATTATGAATGAGTAGAATTTCCATCTTTGTAGAAAACCAAGAAAAATAAAATATCAATAATATGAATTTGGCACATTTTGAAAAAATAGTTTAACAAGACTGAAATTAGTTCCATTGTCACTGGGTGCCCAACATCCTGATCTCATTCCGGACTAATTAACCTTAAAAATATCAAAAATAAAATTTCACACATCAAAAATAAGTAAAATGAAAACATGAACGCTGATCACAAGAAATAATTTATTTAAAATATGGAAAACCCAACTTTAGAATGAAATATCTACTGCTCACGAAATATTCAACAATATTTACAGAAAAAGAAAATACATTAAAATAACATTTGTCTCACCTGGAACTTGAAAAGGTGTCCAATTGCTATGTGCAACACCACTGACTTCATGCAGATTATTCTGGAAGTCAGAGGAAGTTGAAAATTCTAATTCATCACAGCCTTCTTCTGTACAACATCTAAAACAATAACAAGAATTGCATTTGAATGTTTTTTTAGATAATTGCGATACAAAGAAAAACAAGAGGTTTTAAGTATCATGTAACAAATGTGAATGAGTTTTAAAATACTGATCTTTTTATTAACCAAATGTTAATTGTTCACAATCAATTCTAATTAGCCTCTAGATAAAAAATAATATTAATCTGAGATATTACTCAAAAGTTTAGTGAATTTGAACAGTACTTGCAATCACAAGGTACTTCCCCACACCCCAACAAATATATTTTGTGATCCAATGTACAAAGAGCAAGCAAAGGAACTACTTTGATGAAGACAATGGAAACTAGATGCAAGGGTTAAGAATATTTTTATTATCAAATTTTTCTGAAATTTTAGGTAACATTTTGGACATAGAAACTGATCAAGTGATTTTTTTTCTTTTTTTTTTACAGCTTATCAACCCATTGTGTATTATTTAAAGCTGGTTTGGTTTGGCGTGCTTTATGGCATATCAACCTCAATGGGTTATTTAATGCCGACAAGATTTTTATTGCTGCTAATATTTTTTCAAAATGTATGGCTGGTAATATTTTTTTTCTTCATAAATTCATTGCTGGTAATAAAACTTATTTTCACAGGTTTTCATCCCAATTTGGGGTTAACTATTTGCCCATAGCTGGAACCCTATAGCTATTGGATGTAGTTTATTGTCTTACCCAGGATGCAGATGTAGTTTATTGTCATATCCAGGATGGGTAGGTAGAAGGATAATCAACCAATATGTAAGTACATACAATTTGGAAGATCTCACAGTATCTGAACTGAGGTTTTCCCAAATTGTCCAAGAGTGGCCCCTGGGCCTTATATCAGATGACCATTAGTGTGTGTGTGTATATATATATATATATATATATATATATATATATATATACACACACATATATATATACATTATATAGGTTGGTAATAAAGTCACTATATAGTTACTTATAATAAAAAGCAAAGCATTGAAGCAGATGGCTTGCAGTTCAAACAGTATTCTGTAATTAATTTGCTATTGCTTACCATAGCATTAACCAAAATTAACCAGAACCATTTTAATAATAAATTTCTGGACTGTTGATTAAATGTTTTGTCTTAATTGTTATTGCAAGTGACTGTATATTGACTTTTATTGCCACCCTATATATATATATATATATATATATATATATATATTGTAGAGATTAAAAAAAAGAATACAATAAGTCTAATACTGTTCTACTTACTTGCTGTCAAATGTGACACTAAGGTACGATGCCCCAGGAATATGGATCTTATCTTCCTCCTTTGTATTGTTTTCATAATTGTGCTTCGACTCACGTGTTATCACAACCACATTGTCTTCTTCAAGGAATTGGCATGCCATCAGAGTCACTTCTGGTAAAATGTTCTCATGGCAGTGTAACGTACCATTTTGAATGGCCTGCAAAATAAAATTTAACATTTGAAAGAATTTTACTTAAAGCAAATTTTCTGTTTCTTCAAATATCATTATTTAATATTATTTAATAATTCAATGCTAACTTGTGATTATTTTTAATAATAATAATAATTTCTTAAAATAAATTTTAATAAATGACTATTTCTATTAAGTCAACTGCAGGAATAAATTCCTCACCTCATCAATGATTTTCTTTGGAAGCACCCCATTCAAGAGATCAAATATACAAGAAACTTGGTAACCATTTTTGATTCCAAAGAGATCAGCCGTGATTAGCGGAGCATCATCTGGCCATTTGGCTAGCATTGTAGCCAGTAGTTGTCGTGAGTAGAGGACGACCATTGCACGAGCCAGTTGCATCAGGTAGACATCATTCACTCTCGTTTTATTGGCCTTCTGTAAGAGTTCACAGCTTTTTTTCTTTTGTTCTTGTTCAATATCAAATTGAACTTCATCTGGGGAAGCAATCATGTCCTCATGAGAGAGATCAAATTCTTCAGAAGCATAGGATGAAGCCCTGCAAAAGAAATGAACAGAAACAAATAAAGGAATCAGAATAGAACTTTTGGTTTTGTTATTTATCAACATAAACCTTATAAACATGACAATGCTCAGAATAAGCTTTAGTCTAAGCATGGAAAAAAGATTCAAATTTTTTTAATGCTTTTTTTTTTAACTTTAAGTTTGAAGACAAGCTCAGATTTTTTTTTTTTAAAGGCAACTTTATTTTTAAGCAAAATTTCACAAATTTCGAAATAAATTTTATTTTGTAATAAATCCTCCTCTTTGTATAAAAAAAAAAAAAATAATAAAAAATTAAAGATGTTTTCAGAGGAATGACTACCAAAAAAAGAAACTAAAATTATAAAAAATTGCACGCTCCCTTACCAACCGTGTCCCAAGTCACGCTCCCTTACCAACCGTGTCCCCAAGCTCCCTTACCAACCGTGTCCCAAGTCACTCGCTCCCTTACCAACCGTGTCCCAAGTCACTCGCTCCCTTACCAACAGTGTACAAGATGCTCACTCTCTTACCAACCGTGTCCCAAGACACTCGCTCCCATACCAACCGTGTACAAGATGCTCACTCTCTCTTACCAACCGTGTCCCAAGACACTCTCTCCCATACCAACCGTGTACCAAGATGTCCCAGTCTCTCCCTTACCAACCGTGTCCCAACCGTGTCCCAAGTCGCTCTCTCCCTTACCAATCGTGTCCCAAGTCACTTGCTCCCTTACCAACCGTGTCCCAAGTCACTCACTCCCTTACCAACCGTGTCCCAAGTCACTCGCTCCCTTACCAACCGTGTCCCAAGTCACTCGCTCCCTTACCAACCGTGTCCCAAGTCACTCGCTCCCTTACCAACCGTGTCCCAAGTCACTCGCTCCCTTACCAACCGTGTACAAGATGCTCACTCTCTTACCAACCATGTCCCAAGACACTCGCTCCCTTAAACTCCAGAATTCCAAAATGCAGTCTCTCTTATTAGCCAATTTAATTAAAATTCATCATTAAGAGAGATTACATGAGATGAAAAAAAAAATACAGTGAGATGAACAAATCAACTAACCCTTCTTGAATTCCTCGGAATTCTTCATACTGCACACCAGTGTCAATTGAGTGGTCATCATTGGTAGGTGTTTCTTCAGGTACTTCAGTTGCCAGTTCGCTTTTGCCACTAAAAAAAAACCTACGGACACTAACATACAGGAAAATATAATTCATCAAACTGACAACGTCATATTCAGATTTCATTTTTCCAGTAATACAAAAGTTTTTCAGGAAAAACATCTGGGTTACTACTACACAAAAAAGACAATGGTTAAACATTGAAAAACATAAGGAAAAATAATGCCTTTTAATAATATGTGTAAATATCCACACTTTGACTGATGAAGGTCACAAGACCAAAAACCTGTGTAACAAAAATGTGGAAAATAAAGTATAATATATATTTAAAAAAATTCACATTATAACCAAAAACTTTTGCAGCTTCTCTCTTGTTTTTATAATACACACTTCCTCCTATATATATATATATATATATATATATATATATATATATATATATAAGGGTTATGCCTTTGTGGTAACCCTATATTTCTGTGTCATCAATTGATGAACTTTGATGTGTTCATTTATGAAGTAATTAAAAAGGCATTAACTTGTTGATTCTTGAAAAAGGTTACTCCAAAACCAAAAATTTGATTTTACCATATACACAAGTAAAAAAAAAAAAAAAATTTAAATATTTCAGAAGTTTTATTTTTCAATATGCTAATGATGTAATTGGTTAGTAATTATGTATTTTTTAAAACCTTCAATAATTTATAGCTATAGCATAACATACAAACTTACAAATAAACAAAAATAAGTTCTAAAAGTTTCCAGGATGTTCTAGAAGGCAAGTGGGTCAGTCATAACTTTTTCAGTACCCACTGGTATAATCGAACAATATCAGAATGTTATATATAAGTTTGTAAGGTAAATTTTACATATATAATTCATTCTAATTATTTTCAACACAAACAAAAATATTTTATCTTAAATTTGTTCTAGCCATATTTCTCATTGAATTCATGTTTTAGCGTTGAAAATTGAGAAGAAAGGGATTGTCACTGGTCAGGAATTAAGGTAAGCATTACTGATACAAAGAGGTTATCTAAATATAAACACATTTCCAAAGCTTTCACTAGAGAAATGTATTGAGAATCAGAAAGAGATTTCTTAGAATAAAAGCAAGTGCAACAGACAAACAGAATAGGATTATTATAAATAAATAAGAAATACAATTAATATAGAATAACATTTGCCTTAAATATTTTATTCTGGTTGATACTAAAACTGAAATACCATTCAGGTGCTAGACTTTATTTTTATCTTTCATGACCTTTCAGAGATCTCAGTATTAAATGGCAATACCCCTCCTCCTTTAAAATATCATGTGACAAGCAGATGGAGGAGAAAATATAATCTCATCAAGTTCAAGAGTTACTCTGGTGATGAGAGAGAATTGCAGGGAGCGTTAGAGTCATGCCTTTATCAAGGGTATTAGTATGATATGGGCACACGCAACCAGACAGAATTTGAGCAGTTTACTAATTGTCTTTTCTGTGTTGAAAACAGCAACATATTTTCATTTTGCTTATTTGATGGTTCTCTTAATAAGAATTTCTTTTTCTCACATTCTTTCAAATTCACTAACACCCTTGCTTCTTAGTAGCTTTATTGCCTTGCTTGAGGTGAAATGATTAAAAAGATTTCCTTTCAGATTGAAATGAAAATTAAATACCTAAGTATATTCTATTTTTTAATATACTAAAGTTCACCAAATACAAGGCTTGAGAAACACTCAAAGTAGAGACTTACTTTTAAAATGGCTATCATGAATGAAGTGAAGATTATGAGGATAAGCAGGAGACCCATGACTTGAAGAGGCTAAAATAGTAGTGTTCAGGGAAGTATCCACACAGGTGCCTGTTCTACAAAGTAACAGTTCTTGGAGAAAAGCTACCCGAGTAGAACTTCTACTTAGAATATGGAGGAAATGGTAGTGATTCCACTCCATGGAAGTAGCATGCCCTGTCCTAGTTATAAAAATCTGAATTAGTAAAACTAAAGAATGGAATATTGTAAAGTGTGAGAATCAACATCATGTACTTGACTGTCTCTTTCTCCATAATGGAAGGTATATATATATATATATATACAGGATTATATGTCGATGACTATTTATGCTCTCGTTTGCCAATTGAGCACTACAGAGAAAAGGGTAATTTTAAAAACAGTGGCTGCTGCTGCTGCTATTAATGCATCACTCTTCAGTCATGAATTGAGTGCTACTGGTGTTTGCATACATCTCGTATATAATACATTAAAATTTCCCTTTCTCTGCCATGCGCCGATAGCTTATGGGTAGAATCTCGAACTGATACCAAATCGGTTGAGTTTTGATCCCAGCTTGAAAGAAGCAGATGTTTAGACACACTGATGAGCTGTGATACAGCAAAACAAGCTTGTATGTGGATGACATATATATATATATATATATTAGCGTATGCAGCTTATATTTTATATCAAAGAAACAATTTATACAAAAAATTAAATAGCAATGTCAATGCGAATAATAGCGAAATCACTTCACTAACAGAACTTAATGAGACATTAACTTACTATCAATTACTTGAAGAATAACATCCTTATATTCAAGTTGTTGTCAGATGGAAGACACATGCCAAGCACTTTCGACAATTTGAAATTGTCATCTTCAGAGCACAATTTCCTAATATATAGGTAAATACTAAGATTAACAATGTGTAGATTGAAAGATGTTTTTTAAAATTATGCTATTTATTAACAGATGAATATATGTTTTGGAGCATGCAATGTCGCAACACTAGACTTCTTCAAATCAATCAAGTGAAAATTTTGTTTGAATTTTGAAAAGTTATAAATTCACAAAATTTTCTTGTTATATATATTTATCTTTTAAAGTGAAATGGACGTAGTATAATCCAATTAGTTGACTAAAAATGTCTTAGTAGTTTTCCACAGAATTTAAGATTCTGAGTATTACTGTGCTGCAGATCTGATGTAAATATATTAGAATGTGAAGCTTATATTTTATATCATAAAGAAACAGTTTATACAATGAATTAAATAACAATATTAATGTGATCAATATATATGTATACATACATGATAAAATGAATAACAAATAGGAAACGTACATATGTATAAATAAATAAAAGTGGGCATTGAAATCAACACACAAAGGTGACATCTTTCAGTCTACATATCGTTCATCTTTGTATTTGCCAATATATAAGAAAATTGCGCTCTGAAAATGACGATTTGAAATTGTCAAAAGTACTTGGCATATACCTGGATATACCCTATTTCTGGTTTTGTTGTCACTTGATCCCTACAAATCCCTTTACTTCCCATTCCTCTTTCATTAAAGTAGATGCCACTGAGAAGACCAGTCTTTGATCAACCAGCAAATGGTTCCTGTTAAACAAAAACACTTAAGATGCAAATAAAACCACCTCTTCCACTTCTATGTGGGTGTCCATAGTGTCATATGGCGATAGGCTTGCAATAAAACACCTATGGGGAAGAGGCTACAGAATGGAAAAGAAGTGATCTCACACAAAGCCATGTAGATGATTTCAAACTCTATCAAAGGCTGGACTAACGATATTTTCGGTCTAATCTAACTCTTCTAACGATAAAGTATCGCAGAAGTGAGGTATGATAGAATGGGTCAAGCATTTTTTTCAACAAATGGATTGTATATATGAGTTCCACTTGAGGTCATAACATTCAAGTCATGGGCGGAGAAGTGCAGGTGTGGCAGAAGATTAATTAAATAAGTTAGCTAATACCTTTGTCCAAGTTCTTTCAGTATGTAATCATCAAAAGCTGTTTGGATGAAATATTTCTGGCTTGCAAACACAGTCTGAAAAAGTAAAGCATTTACTCAATGTAAAAACATCAAATAAAGAACTAAGAACAAATTAAAACCTAAGAAAGAACCAAGTAAATTCCTCAGTTTATAGATATCTTAAGCTTTATTGCATTTATGTACATTGTCTTCTGCATACCTTGCATTACTTACATTATTCAGACTATTACACTCATATTCATTGCCATATTCACAACATTTCACCTTCAAGTTTGAAATGCCAATCACCTAAAGAAGGCCAGAGCATACAACAACCGAAACATTGAGAATGTGGCAATGAATCTGAGGATAAGTCTAAATAATGTAAATAATCATAACACCTCATCTCAGAGATATAGAGGCCAAAACGTTGTGAATATGGCAATGAAGATGAGGATAACCGTCCGAATAATATAAATAATGCAAGTAATCATAATACCTCATCTCAGAGATATAGAGGCCAAAACGTTGTGAATATGGCAATGAAGATGAGGATAACAGTGTAAATAATGTAAATAATCATAATACCTCATTTCAGAGACATAGACATATCTTCTGTATAAGTTGATCACTTTTGTCTCATTATTTTTTTTTTTTACATGAAAAGGCTTAAATAGATTTCATTGTCAATTAATATTTGAATTCCCCACCAACTTTACAGCAAAACTTGTATTTTTCAGAAAAAAAAAAAAAAAAAGACATCATGTCAAATTAAAAACAAAAACTATTTAACCACTTTTCATGTTTTAATTTCTCTTTTCATTGAACACAATGTTGACGTATGTGGACTGGTGATGCCCCGACATCTTGAATTATTTTCCACCTTACAACCCTTTTCTCCACAGACAAAACATTGCAAATCCCTAACTGCTCTATCACTATTTCCATGGCAAGTGTTCTGACAAGCTGACAAGAAAAAGGCACTATTCAACTTTGCTTGATCGTTGATGCATTTTGTGGTCAAGACAATCTAAAGTACGTTGAATCTAACGACAGTTTCTCAGTGACACACATTTTGAATACTGCTGGAAAGTGTATATTTTTCTTTAAAAATATTTTTTAAAAATTTGGACAGGTAGATAAAAAGAAATAAATAAACGGAGCATCTACACAAATATGGGCATCCACTAAAAAAAATAACATTTAAGAAATAAAACCTCTCACATTAATAAATGAAAATCCATCTTTAGAAATAAATATATATATATATATTATATATATATATATATATATATACAGATAAAAACGTAAAGGAAGACTGAAAAAGGCCTAAAAGGTATGGACAACAAAAAAGTGCTCAATACAAAACTAAAAAATCGAATATTTAGAGCTAAGAAATTTTAAAAAAGCCTAAAATGACAACCAAACTCGCAATCCGGGTTTCAACCATGAGGTACCTATGAACCTGGATGAGCGAAATAAAATTAATTTTTTTTTTAACCCCTCTTTTCCTCACTTACAATTTTTTTTTTATGTTTTCCCTCT